TTCTGAATTAATAATGAGCAATATTATTATCAATGATTAAGTATTAGCAATAATTATTATAAGAAATTACTTTTCTGAATTAATAATGAGCAATATTATTAGTAATTAAGTAATAGCAGTAATTATTATAAAAATTTATTTTTAGAAATTAATTATTATGAGTGAGTAATTATTTTTAGTAATTAATAGATGGAATTAATTAATTAGAAGTAGTTAATCATAATTAATTAGTAATTAACAATAATAAATTAATTAGAAGTAGTTATTAGTAATCAATAGCCAAAATTAATTAATTAGTTTAGTAGTTAACAGTAATTAATAAGCATGTTGAATTAATAACAACATATTTAATGGAACCGATTTGATTTTAAATGCATTAATCAGAGTTTCCTTTTTTTTAGGAAAGGATTGAGAGTGGGAGCTTCCCACTTCTCACGACTCTACATGGTGGTGGGCTCCACTCTGCATGTTAATGGGTTCTATTCTTTAATTACCACTAATCAGAATTTGACATGTGTCTAGTGGGCTCTATTCTTGAACTATTATTAATAAGAATTTGACACGTGTCTATTTTGTTTACAATTTTGGAATGAGAGGTGTCTGAATGGAGGCGAATCATGCGTCTTTAGGGACATTCAACCTAACGTTTATGATGAAGGATGAAATCAAATGTTCAAATTATTCAAATTACACCAAGGATCAATCAACGGTCAAAAAGGTTATAAGGATGCCTAATTCTTAGGTGTCGTTTGTTTGCATTGAATGGACCTCTGGTTGGTTAATATGGTTAGGACAGCTCTTATAGATAGGAAAGATATTGGGTCTTGGGCTGAGTTGTTCGCCATTGTTTATTTTGATTGTTAGAGAGGTTCAAAGTTGATTTGTGCAACTAGCTTATTAGGGCCCATTTGGGAGGCCTTTAACATTGATTGAGCTGCATAACCTTCATTTACTAAGCTACGTCAAAGAATCTACCAAAATTAGCTTCATATTGATTTCTCAAATCAATCAAAACATGGTTGGGTTTTTGAGTTTTTCACCAAATATAACTTCATAGCCTTCCCACATGTCTACCTTGCAACATAGAAAGTCATACTAAATGGCCACTTACTTTTATGTTGTGTTCGGTTTGAAGGAAAAAGTAGGGAAAGGAAGGGAAGGCAGGGAGGGAAACCTATACTACATTTCCCTTCCTTTCCCTACTATTTCCTTCAAATCAAACATAGCCTTAGTGTCTATCTGGGTGGGACTTTCACATAGGTTGCATTTATTTGTGGTATAAATACCGGATTAGAGGATTTTTTACACTTCGATCTAGTTTTGTAGTCATTTGGATGAAATATAAATAACTACCAAAAATCGATGTAAAACTCCTCATAGGATGAATTTTGCACCGAACCGAGGGAAATTTAACTCTAGTAAAAATTATGTAAATCTTTACATGGAWAACCGCTATTTTTTTTTTAAACCAATGAATATAGAATTGGTTTTATGAGGTGGATCCCACCTGACCATATAAGCAATGTTTTGTGAAAACCCCCCAAAAGCCCAAAATAGAATTGGTTTTATGGGGGGTTTTGTGAAAACCCCCTACAAGGGGCTGCCTCACAACGCCCCACAGCACATCCCTGCCGTGTATTGGGAACATCTCCTGATGATGACATCATCGATTCTAGTACTATCATCGGGAGATGTTCCCAATACACAACGGGAATGTGTTTTGGGGCATTGTGGGACGGCCCTTTGTGGGGCAGAGATGTGAACTTCGTGAACTAGTGCTAATTTTAAATCATTTTCTTTCTATTTATCCTTTTTTTTCTCTTTGTCTAAAAAATTATAAATTCACGAGTATAAATATGTCAAATATTAGTATCTTTTAAGATATTATAAAATTTAGATATTCAAATAGAAAAAGAAAAAAAAAACAAATTTTAGGTATTTTTTAGTGTGTGTGTGTGTCCAACAATCAAACGATATTGACATATCAATCCATGAACCAGAAGTTAAAATGGTTTAAATTTGGTTCAAATCTAACAACATCAAATTAGATAATTTAACTAATGACCTAATTTGAAATGGATTTCTTGATTTTTTTTTTCTGTTTTGGATATAAGGATTTATTGAGTTGAGATTAATCAAAACCACTTAATAATCAAATTTGTATTTTAAATAAAAATTGCAAGATACATTTTAGTCAATTAAAGATAGAAATCATCTAATTCTAGTTCATCAACTATGGCTCCAAAGCTTTTTCTACCATTCAACCTCCCCTTTGACACTTCATAGTTCAAAGTAAATGGAATAGAAATTGATGTAGGGTGGCCCAGCCCAGCCCTCAAACGCCAGAACCAGGGACGCGACTAGCCATAGCAGGGGCTAACCTACAACCCTCATACGGAGCCAATCGCGGAGAGCCCATACGTCCCCATAGAGCTCACTGACCGCCTACGTACGACTCCCATCTCAGGCATTCATTTCCACCAACCTCCAGGTGGCTCAAGTATAAATAGGGGGTACCCCCTTCCTGGTGAGGGATCCTGAAATCTAATCCTACTATAGAACTTAAGCGTCCTCACTTTTGGGAATTCAGTATCCACGAGTAGGCCCCTCAAAGCCCTCGTCCATACTTAATTCCCCTCTTTGTACCCTCGTACTGACTTGACCGTCAGAGCCTCTGCCTCAGGTTTTCACTCGGGGCCTCTAACATCCTCTGCCTTGCAGCACCTTAGCTATCAGTCATCGGCTTCTACGAAACTCGGTACGCCATCAGCCTCGGCCTCCTGTCTTCGGCCACGGCACTTCGTTCCCGAATCCTTTGAAGCCCTCAGCCCATCT